CTTGGCCTGCTGTGTTCATCCAGCCCTGCACCTTGTTGTCTCGGATTCTCCAGCATCTGCAGTTCCTACTATCTCTCATTATCACATTGCTGCTTGCTATATGCAAACCTGCCTGCTTTTTCCACATCACACCAGTGACTACTGCATTGGCTGTGAAGCACTTTGAGGTATCTAGTGGTCACAAAAGGCACATTTAAATGCAGACCATTTTACAGAAATATGGTGTATTTGCATTCAAGCCAGGTAATAGTTTGGCAGAACATGATTAATTACAGTTCCCTTGAGCTCTAAACAATGATGGAGTCATTTTGGCTACTCAAATGGCGTATAACTGGGAAGGAAGAGCAACAGAATTCAAATAGTGGCTTCTTGTCCTGACCAGGGAACAAAAATCAGAAGCACATGACCTACAGTAAAGATCTCAGAAAACTGCCAGATGTTGAGATAAAATGTATTAAGTTCAAAGCTAGTCAGGATCAGATAAATTACTGACTATTTAGGTCTCTAATAACTAAATTTCAATTAATTTTTTTTTGTAAGCTGAGAATTTTAGCAGGTCATTTAGCCAATTTCTGTTAGTATTTTGCACAATTAAGAATTCTATTATTCGAAGTGTCTTCCAATTACTGCTCACTAACAGCTACTCTGTTTGGAAAAATAATGGATTGTTTTTCCACATGGCTGCGCTGCCTCAGTAACGCACGAAGGTAACAAAAGAATCAACTAAAAGATCATGGAATAATGACAAATGGTGATAATATCAGTCTAAAGAACTCACTAACTCAATAGCGATACTTGCTGAGTCCTGGCCAGTCCTTTAAGGCAGAGGATACGGTGCTGAAATCAATGTACATTTTTTAAAAATCCTGAATCGCAAACCTTGTCAAATGACTTTCCAATAGCATTCTCAAGAGACAGCTCCTCAACATCCAAAGATGGGTTGTAGCGTTTAAGTTCCTTCAAGCACGCATTCATTACATCCATTATAGCAGTCTGGATAGCCAGCATGGAGGGTGTCAGAGATACGTGTAACTCTATTACTTCAGGTTTGTGCCTGTCCAGGCAGGAGCCGACCGTGATATGGAATCTAAGGGGAGAGGTAATCAGATCAGTTTCGGACAGCAAGGGGGATGCGGGATACAGGATAAACACTGATTACAAGAACAGGTCAGTGGCTAGGAATTCTGTGGCAAGATCTGATTGCCTGCCCATCATCTACAAGGCACAAGCCAGGAGCGTGATTGAATGTTCTTTACTTGCCTTCGATGGGTGCAGCTCCAATAACTCTCAAGAAGCCTGACTCCATCCAGGACAAAGTAGCCTGCTTGTCTGGCACCACAATTAACATCTTCAACATTCACTCACCTCACCACTAATATACGGTAGCAACGGCCTGTACTATCTACAAGATGCGTTGCAGCAAGACAGTACCTACCCAACCCAAGTCCTCATCCATCTAGAAGGACAAGGGCAGCAGATACACGAGAACACCACTCCCTGCTAGTTCCCCTCCAAGCCACTCACCATCCTGACTTGGAAATATATCGCTGTTCCTTCATTGTCACAGGGTCAGAAATTTAGAAATCCCTCCTGAAGGGCACTCTGGATGTAGTTACAGTTCATAGAGGGTGGCAGTTCAAGATGACAACTCATCTTCTTTAGGGCAATTTGGGATGGGCCAGCAATGCCCATAACCCATTGACAAATAAAATAAAGAAGGATGCCAACAAACCATCTGTCCTTTGGGAGAAGCAGATCTGTTAAGTATATGCACTCCATGAGGACAAAATTACTCAATATTAGTGCAATACTCCAAGTTTATGAATAACTTTAATTTTACACACTACAATGATTAAACTCATTTCAACAAACTGGTCATCTCCGGTTTTGGAAATTCCCAAACTCTTTGGATGGAAACTATGTAGCTCCAAGTAAAACATATTTTAAAGAACATGAAATAAAAACAGAAAGTGCTGGAGAAGCTCAGCAGATCTATCAGCAACTGTGGAGAGAAACAGAGTTCAGAACCTGGATAGGAGTTGGTAATTTTGTCCGTACAGAGTTGATGGGCCAAAGGGTCTCTTCTGTGCTGTATGATTTTATGATCAATGAGTCCTTCCAGACTCAAAGCATTAACTCTGTTTCTCCAGCACTTTATTTTTAATTTCAGATTACCATAGTATTTTGCTTCTATTTAAAAGGATGTGCCAGCTATGGCATAAACAATAGGACAGCACGTTTATAATAATGGTCAACGGACAGTTTCAAGGGCAGACTGCAGACTTCAAACATCTTTTGAGAACGCAGGATCACTCCTTCAATTCCAAACTTCTGGCAGCAATTCATTTTCAGCATATTTGCTGTACAAGTTTGAAAGCTGACTTTTTCTTCCACAACCACAGCCTGCTGCAGAATGAGCCTTTCGTCAGTAGATCACAATATTAAAAGATCAAAATGTTCTCTCAATGGTTGGAATATTAAATTCTACAAGACTGGTGTGCCCCCTATCAAGCCCACTAGCCTCATCACTTACTTTGTACTACTGCAGCATAAGCTGGAGGCTAAACATGCAGAGCGCACCTCTCTTGTTCACTCACTCTGTCTCAATGAGCTATAATTGATGCTTTTTTCTGTATTTTGCATATATAAAAGCATGCAGCTGGAGTGAAGTAGATTAAAGAATTGAATTTTAGATAAATTAGCAAGGTTACAATGGCTCCAGAGCTCTGTCTCTGAAACTAAGAACATTACAGAGATTCTGTTCAACCTAAAGATGCCTTTTTGGATACAATGTGTTCTAACATTAATGGGTTTGGAAAAACAGCCTATGTATCTCTCTTACCCAGTGTTACATTTTGTACTTTTAGAGAAATCAGACAATGCTGTTTCGTCAGTGTACTCTAGTTCTGTTACATACCCTGGCAGTGCTCTAAGCTTCTGAAGACTGTTCTGGTTCCAGATTAAGTCACCCTGTCTCCCCAATATTAGATGTTATGAAGTTGACAGTTGTCTTTACTTTGGATACAGTGGCTTCACACAGGAACATTTGGGCACCTTATCTGTAATTATGGTACAGAATTCCCTAGTAGAACAATAATATCAAGCAGTGATGTGAAAATGTCATCTGATCATCCCAAAACAGGAGATGGCTGCAGTCGGTAGATAAATAAAGATCGGTTTGAAACTGGTTTTATTTCTTCAGATCAAAATGAGTCAATGCTGCAGTCAATGTAACATTCTGTACACTGGACAGACGTCATGTGGAATCCAAAGTACCTTAAAAAGAATTGCGCATTTGGCAACTGGAAGAGACTTCAGACTGATGAACTCCATATGTATTAACTGGCAGTGTAGATTACGCAGTTTCTCCTAAATCTACTTACCTGGGCCAGAGGTACAGCTTTCGAACAAACAAGTTTCGCATCACTCGCTCCACGCGACAGAAACCGAGACTAAAGGCCGCTGCATTGTCTGTGAAAGCCTTTATAAAACCTTTTTTGTTCTTCTGTCGATAAAGCCGAAGAATAAATGCCTCCTGACATGATTCGATGATTCGGTGAGCTTTGTACACCAAAATACCTGCAATGACAAAGCATTCCACCATGCACCTTCATCACAAAATCCATTAATGCAACTAGATCAGGTCCAGGCAATCTGGAAGCGTGGTGTAAACATTACGAAATTTTCAAAAAACAGAACCCTGGCTCTATACATCTCACAGACCAGTTATCTAGAATTTAATAAAATGTGATATCTGGGATCACAGAGATTGACATACTTAGTTATGAAAGTTGACACCATCAGCACCTTTGGGGAAGGTATGAGACTATTTGTTCTCTTTCTGTTAAATGCTCACACAGGATGATTAACTCTTTCTAAGGAACAGGCGACAGCTATAGCGTTACCAATCCCTTCGGGTATTTACCAGAGGGCAGACTGGCAGCCAGACAACGCCAGTCCATCCATTTTACTGACTATTTTGAATACAGAGTCTGAATACAAGACAGCAAGACTGGACTTCCAATATTTTAACAATGAAAAGAACTTTTATATAAAAGAGCTTCAATAACAGATGACAGAAGCCAGCACTTCACAAAGCACATGATGACAATGTGAAAGCAAATTTATGAGGCAGCTTTACTGTGGGAAGAAGAGGTCACAACACTTCAGAGTTTACTGCTCAACCATGTTATTTCAGAAGCAACTTAAATAGAAGTTGAAACACTTTGGCTTTGAGCATTTGTGGGATGTGAGCATCACTGGCAAGATCGTCATTTATTGCCTAGCCTCAGCCCTAGTTGTCCTGAACGGAGTGCCTTGTCAGGTTGTTCCAGAGGACTGTTCAGAGCCAACCACAATGATCACTTGTTAGCCAGACCAGGTAAAGGTGCCAGATTTCTTTACTAGTGAGCCTAATGGGTTTATATAACAACCAGCAGTTACAGCGTCACTATTAGAGTCCTACAGCTGTACATGAAAACAGACCCTTCAGTCCAACATGTCCAAGCTGACCAGATATCCTAAATTAATCTAGTCTCATTTGCCAGCATGTGGCCCAAATCCCTATAGACCCTTGCTATCCATATACCCATCCAGACGTCATTTTAATGTTGTAATTGTACCAGATTCCACCACTTCCTCTGGCAGTTCATTCCAAATATGCACCACCCTCTGTGTGAAAAAGTTGCTCCTTAGATCCCTTTTAAATCTTTCCCCTCACCTAACACTGGGGCAAGAAATGAAGAAACTGTGTTTAAAGGATTATTTTTCCTTTTAACCATGGTCAAATAGAGCCCCTGCTTACCTGTAATAAGACTTGCAGGAATGCGGTCTGTTAAGAGGTCAACAACAAGAATCCGGCTGGTCACAAACAAGATCCCACCTTCAGTGTACACTGTGTAACGATCATTACTCAGAACTTCATTGGTAATAATGCGAGGAAGGTGGGTTACTCCTTCAGAACGCAGCTGTTCAATAAAATATTGCTGAAACAGAGAAAAGCCATCACTTAATATTTCACTGTCTTTTCTGTATCACTTAGGTGCTAATTACAGAATTGTTACCACACAGGAGGTCATCATGTCTGCAGCAGCTCTCCAAATGAGCACTTCATCTGGTGTAGTCCCCGCTCTGCCTTCTCCCTATAAACCTACACTGTCTTCCTTTCCAAATAATCCACGGCCCTCTCGAAATGCTTCCACCACACACTCAGGCACAGCACTTCAAATCTTAACCACTCACTGTGTGAAAATCTCTCATGTGCCATTGATTCTTTTGCCAACTATCTTAAATCTTAATTCTCAACTCTCAACCAGGGGAAACATCCTCCTGGATCTAATTTATACAGCCCTATTAGAATTTTATACTTTTCAATCAGATTCCCTCTCATTTCTCTGACACTCCAGGCCCAGTCAAACCAATCTCTCCTCATAGGACAGTCCTCAGTATCAGCCTAGTGAACTTCTGCTATACTCCCTCTACAGCAAGTATGTCTTCTTTTAGGTAGAGAGATCACAACTGCATGTAATACACCAGATGTAGACTCACCAAGGGCCTTACAACTGTAGAAAGACATCCCTATTGCTAAACTCAAATCCTCTTGCAACGAAAATCAACATACTATTTTTCCCTGAACTGCTTGCTGCACCGGTCTTTTGTTTCATTGACTGGTGTGCAACTTCTTTCAGCATTCACATTTCCCAAAATATCACCATTTAAATAATACTTTTCCTTTCTGTTTGGACACTAAAGTGTATAACTTCACATTTATTCACAATATATGGCATCTGACATGTTTGCCCGCATCAACTTATCTCGATCACCACAAAACCTCTTTGAATTCTCCTAACATAACTCAATCCCACCTAGTTTTGTGATGTCAGCAATCTTGGAGAGTGAATAGTTGGGGCCCAAGCACTGATCCCTGCTGTATACCACCTGTCACTGCCTGCCACTTGGAAAAAGACCCAATTACTCCCACACACTTTCCCGTCTGTGAACCAATTCTCAACCCATGCCAGTATATTACAACCACTCCCATTTGCTTTAATTTTGCCCCTAAGCTCAATTGTGGGACCCTTCCAAAAGCCTTCTTGAAGCCTTTGAAATGGAGTCGCTCTGGTGTTCAAATCAGACCCAATGTCTCAGTGAGCATTCTTCAATCTGATTGGTTAACGAAAAACACTGTTGCTTGACTTGTTCAGACAGAACCCCAAACCCTTTGAGAAGGTGCTGTGCTGTTTAGGGATTCTCATGACCAGAAGTCACAGCGTAAAAGCCCACAGAAAACCTCTGGGTACGTATAAAGGGTAACTAATAAACAACAAAGGACTACAAGTTAGAATCAAATGGTCTTCTAGTTAGGTTACACTTTGAGCACTGAGGAAATCGTACAGAATTACAGACTAAAATAAAAACAAAGTGCTGGAGAAACTCAGTCAGTCTGGCAGCATCTGTGGAGAGAGAATGAGAGTTAATGTTTCTAAGCTAATATGACTCTTCTTTTGAGCTGAAGGGGGCTGGAAAATGATATTTTTGTACTGTTGACAAAAGGTGAAGAAGAGCAAGTGGAGTGGATGGTGAGGATGCCCAAGCCAAAAAGCAATGGAATGTTTATAGGATCCCTACAGTGTGGAAGCAGGCCGTTCGGCCCATCAAGTCCTGCAGAGTTTTTAAAAATTGAATGCAAATTTCACCACCTGCCACGGTGGGATTCACGTCCATTTTCCCAGAACATTCTGAGGAAGGGTCACTTGACATGAAACGTGAACTCGGTTCCTCCCCACAGATGCTGCCAGACCTGCTGAGCTTTTACAGCAATTTCGGTTTTTGTTCCCCGTACATTAGCCTGGGGTTCTGGGTTACTATTCGAGTGACATGACTGTGATGCCACTGCCTTCCCAACAAAATCAAAATGGAGGACAATGTACATTTTCCAGCCCTTTCCAGTTCCAAAGAGGAGTCATATCGGACTCAAATGCCAACTCTGTTTCTCCTCCATGGATTTTTCCAGACCTGCTGAGTTTGTAAAAGAATTTCCGCTTTGATTTCAGACTTCCGGTATAAGTGGTACTTTGCTTTCTTTGGAATTTCCAGTTTGGTCAGACTATACCAAGTATTTATCTAGTTCCAGACACAAAGTCAGAAGGGAGATATTCAAGATCTTAAAGCATTTTAAAGAGCCTTAGCATCAGTAAATTACATTAGGAACAGGGAATGGATGAACTTGAGCTTTTTGGCTTTGAATGAAAGGAGGGAAGAAGATTGCATTTTAGTAAAACAAATAAGGGCAGGACTTACACAATTAAAAGTAGGGCCTCGCGTAGTGTTGTAGAACAGAGATCTAGGGCTTCAGGAACATAATTTTGTGAAGTTAGCATCACATGTAGACAGTGTTTAAGAAAGCATGTAGCACTCTTGCCTTCATTGCTCAGACCTTTGAGTTGGGACGTCATGTTGAGGTTGTATAGGATATTGGTGAGGCCTCTTCTGGAACACTGTGTCCGGTTCTGGTTGGTCTGTTATAGGAAGGATATTATGAAGCTGGAGAGGGTTCAGAAAATGGAGGGTTTGAGTTATAAGGGGAGGCTGGATAGGCTGGGACATTTTTCACTGGAGCCTAGGAGGTTGAGGGGTGACCTTATAGAGGTAAATAAAATCATGAGGGGTATCGATAAGGTGAATGGCAGGTGTCTTTTACCTAGGTTGGAGCATTTCAAGCCTAGGGGGCATATTTTTAAGGTGAGAGGAGAAAGATTTAAAAA